TGCTACAGGCTTCAACATCAACACACAGATTCAACGCCACAACAAAACTTCAGCATCAATACCAACCAACACCTTCAGCTACGTCAGCTATCAACTGCGAAGCGCCCCGGATAAAGTAGGTGGTTATTTTCTGTCCCCGTTGCTTTCCGGTCTGTAAGGGTCACTGGCTGAATCATTTAGAACTGCACAAGCCACGGTATATGTAGTGGCTTTTGAATTACGTAGAGTCGCAGGGTTTTGTAGTATGTAAGCGTCAAGTTGGCAGCCTGCATTTCAGAGGAGTCACTATATAATTAAGGAAGTGTTTACTGTTTTTGTGTTTTTTGATGTGTACACCCCCCCCCCCCCCCAATTCTTCGGAGATAGGTCGCTATGTTAGGTTTCTCTGGTGTTAGGCAGGCAATTGTTTTAGATATAGAGCCGTGCCAGTGTGCAGGGCTGCACTGGTAGCGTAGTGCTCCGACAGGCTGCAGGAAACTTTGACACCCCTGTGGTTCAGCCAATGGCGGGCGGAAGCATCACTTGAAGAGGTCGCAGAAAGACACACCAAATTGTGCGTTACACGAAAGTTGCTGTCCTATAGGCGAAGTTCTGATAATGATTTTCGATTGTTCACAACATTTAATGAACCAGTCACATTCAGAAATATTGAAAGTGACTTGTTATCGCGGATTTGTTAACAATAATTAAAAGCCTCTACGATTTCGAGGCCAGCTCTGTGTGTAAGTAGTGGCCTCTTCTCACAGAATTGGTTCGCACACGCCAGGGACTAGAGTTATCCGCTGAAATTTGTCACTTGCTTTCAAGTGACGAAGTGGCGTAACGCTCTAACCTACCTACCTTCACTTAGCTTAAGGTAGATGCCCTCCGAAAATAACATTCTGTAATATTAACGCCTGAACTATTTATTGAATGATGGATTTTTAAATTACATTTTAAAAATCTATTGTTTTCTTACTTTGAATGAAATTATTTCTTGTTTGTACACCAAACGGGGGCGCATCTACAACCATAAATGGCGTGTGCACCCAATTCTTCCCTTAGCTCCTAGAGTGAAGCAGCCCGTCTCCATTACCACACATGCTTAGTGATAAGAAACTTATTCTGTCATGTTACCGTACCAACACCAAGACACTGACCACACTGGGCTGTGGAACTCGACCGGTTTCCATTGGCAGCCGGAGGTGGCGAGCGGAGTGCACCCAACATCCCTGGAGCTGTTTCTGTTCTCGTTCTGTTAGGTTTGCGTTGGGGGGAACACTGCGTCGCCTGAACGTGTTCAGAAACCGCTACAAATGTCACGGGACGCTACGTGAGCCAACAATGCCAATATGCATTGGTGTCTTTAGAAAACCATGCATCTAAATATCAGAAGAGAGCAAATGCCATTGTTGTCTGAGAAATTAGCTAATTCCGAAAGCATCCGGGACAATTTGAATGTTTATTGAGAACATTCTTTTGGAATATGAGGCTGCAACTCTTCCAACATGTATGTCATTCATCCCTCTTTTATCTAAATTACAAAATTTTCAAGGATGGGGGGAAATAGGCCATTTGATAGGATTCCTAGGATCAGCTGCAGCCTTTGCTAGAATACGAGGACTTGGTTAGAGATCTGGACCAGTGAAACTTTAAAAGTCCTCAAACTTTCATAACTAATCATTTCTCTTTCAGGTGCTCTAATGATTTTGTTTGAATTGTTTCAGACTCTCATCTTCTGTGTTCAGCGAAAGGAAAACCTTCGAATATTGAAGAGGGACAAATTTCAAACTCCCTCGTCACGTTCTTTTTCTTGTATTGTACTTCTTTGGTCTCACCAAGCTGCAGCTCTTCCACTGTTCATCAGTGTAGCTTTTTCAAAAATTGATAGGACTGCGACAAGGGTGGGGGGTACCAGTACGTTTGTTAGGGTTTTTGGATCAGTTGCAGCCTGTAAAGAAAAAGAGGGCTCAAAATTAATTAAAAGATCTGGAGCAATTATAGTCTCCTTCTTGAAATTGTACACTTTGAAGTAAGCCCTCGGTTATTTTGCTAATCATGTCATTTCTCTTGTTAGGTATTCTAATGTTCTGCTTGAATTGTTGCAGGTTGCAAGTCGTCTGTCTTTGCCAGATGGAAAATCAGTGGATTTGAAATCTCGCTCCAAATTTCCTTTCTCTAACAATTGCTTTAACAAGTTTGGAACTGGCAGACTGCATCTCTTCCTTTTTTTTTAATTAGTGACTCAAAATTGTGTAGGACTTCGTGGGGGGAGGGGGGAATCAGGCCATTTGTTAGGATTTCCGGATCAGATGTAATCTGCATTAGAACATGAGGACACTAAATTACTGAAAATCTAGCAGAATTCTTAATTTCTTGTTTCTTTCTGTCCTCGGTCAATTTACTAATAATTGTTTCTCTTTCAGGTACAATTAATATATTTTGATTTTTTGTTTCAGGTCCCTCCCCCTCACTGACCCTGTGGCTCATCGTGCCGAGGGGGTGAAACAAGGAAAGTTGCATACCAGTTTAATTATTCCTCTTACGCTGTGTTTCTGCTGGTGTACGAGACTCTTTCAGAAACATGAATAACAAATTATCCCAGTTGTCACCTATTCATTAAAATTACTTCTAAAGAAAACTTTTGGAGCTAAATAATAGTAACCGCATTGATAATAGTTAAATTATGTGTTCTAAATACATAAAATAGCAGAAAGATTGTGTTACATTACCAGCTTTTTATGCATTACTCCAACATAACCCACTGATTAAAGAGTGTTTAAAACAGCCATCTGTTAGTAGTACACATTGTGGTAAGCATACTGCTGACAGGTGGAAATGTTTCATTCCATCACTTCAATTATGAATTAAATATTTTCTTTCAATGTACATTTGAATTGGAAGAGTTCTATGATTCTTACTTGAAGAAATGCAACTTTCCTTGGCTAAACAGGGTCCAGCATATATTTTAATATTAGAAAATGTCAGATTTGACTGAGTATCGTAATGGTGTTTGGGAGATCACATTTTCAGATCTTAAACCAAACGCCCATTATATTGACCATTTTTTCGAATGTCGCACCAAAAGAATTTCAAGTAGATAAGATAGCACTTCAAGTTAGGTTTTTACCTGCTCCTTCATCTTAACAATTAATTTTTCACGAACCATTTGGTGGTATATAGTCTGAGCTAATGAGAGCACTGTTAAATTAAGCAAGAAAATACAAGACACTGAATTTTAGAAGTAAATGTGTTAAAAATATTTAACCGAACTTCATATTTTGTTTCATAAACCAAAATAGTACTTCTTTACGTGTTTTGTCAGAAGTTGGACAGGGCGATCAGAAACCAAACAGTGAAGAATTAAAAGACAACAGGCATGATGTACATTTGCATGCACCCCAGAGATTTTAGTGTCACTTCGTATACACTTAATTTCATTAACAAGCATAGGAAAAGTTTCTTAATCTTGTAAGGGTGATTGAAGGAAAATTCAAGACTGAATATTCGACAGAATGCTACCCTAAAAATATGTTGTATCTGCGATCTTTAACTCAATATATTACATGTTCCCACAAAGCTCAAGCCATAGGCAATATATGTTTTCTTTCTCATGCTTACAGCAATGGCACTCGTAAAGGAGGACCCAAAGGAGTAAGTTTTGCTGTGTAGACGTCACAGTCAACCAGAAGACGTGGAAACATTCAACACAATTCCAAGAATGGAGTCCAGTTACTCGTAACTGCATGGGGAAGTTGTCTAAGTTCATGGGGTTAAACCATGCAAAGGAACATCACAGCTTGCTTCTGGTGATGTAACAACATCAGTGCATGGAAGGTTTGCACTTGTACAGAATAAATTTCTATGCTGCATGGCTGTAGAAATTGGGATGTCAGAATCACTGGATCTTGAAAACAAGTCGCTGGCATTGTACAAACTGCATATGCTTAAGGAACTGTGCTTGGAGGCAGACAAGAAGTACACAATTTACCCTACATTGGAAGCAGAATGGTGGCCATGTTATGGTACATGGTATAATGTGACATCTAGAAGAAAAGGGAATATTTTGAATGGTCCAAGCACTCTGCAGTCGGAAAATGGCAGAATTACAGTTCTCTCAGAGTTGTAGCCTGTAATTAATTTGACAGTTTCTACATACAAACAGGATGCAATTTCATAAGGTTTGGAAAGAGCCAATCATTTACTTTCCATTAATAAGACATGGACAGCATAGAAAATTAATAGTGAAGCTGAGATCACGTAGAAAATGATAAAATTTGGGGGGGGGGGGATGCAGACAGCAAGCTGATCTCAACAGCCTCCTTCCATTCTTCCAAAATAAGTAGGGTAAAGAAAAGCTCTGCAAGGAACCAATCCCTTATTTTCCTTTCATAACATATTTGATGTTACATGGACTGCATAGAAAACACTGTGCCCAATAGTTCTGTTGATGTACACTTACTGCTGCAGCAATGTGTTTCTGGAGCCAGTAGAAACACAGAAGTACAGACAGCAAGGTGGTTTTATAAGCTTCCTTTTATTTTTTTTTCAAAATAAGTTAAGTAGGCAAAAAACTAAACTTTCCTTTAAAATATCTAATATCCATGATGTATCAAAAATGAAAGTGTAAAAAAGAAGGAACACTTTGTTGCATTGTTGATGGACTGTGTAGTACAATAGTATTTAGACATGTAATACAACAGGATGCTTAAACATAGGATTTCTTTTTAAATAATTGAAAACACATTTCAAATGTTATGATAATGCCTCTTGAAGAAGAACTATGCTTTTAAAATTATCTAAAAGATGCCCTTAAGTAATTAGAAATCCTAATATATCTATATTTGGTGTTACACTTGCCCTTTATTCAAAATGTTGTACTTATCTTTGATTTCAAGTAGTTTTAGATGTCTGATGCTGCTACTAGGATCTAGTGGTCCCTTCATTAGAGTTCTTCTACAATTGCTTCCATTGTAGAAGAAAAATATATGTTCAAAATATTTTCACAAAAACATTTGAGGCAAAATGTTTAAAAATATTTTTATTGTTACGTATACAATGGAAATAAAGATATTGCATTTATGTGTTACTTCTCAGAATAAAATCGAAAGTGACAGTGCAATGAATACAAATGTATATACTGGTGTTTATTTCCTGTGAGTCAGCTTATTTGTACTCCATAACATTTCCTCAGCATCCCCTTCAGACTCTGGGCTACCCATGGACAGCCCTCTCAAGAAGTGTGTATTATTAAAGGAATTTTTCTGTAAATACAGTTTTCCTCAACACAGACATTTTATTCCTCCAGAAATCTCCATTGAAACAAAGCTGTAAAAAACTTCTGGGTTCTTCTGAGGTTAGAGTACCAACAAGGATGTAATTATTTCAGAATCCCTGTTTTTCTCTGGTAGAGAACCAGAATGCACAGTGCGTACTCCATAGCCTGGTCTGCTTTTCCATCACAAAGTCCTTACTGAAAAGAAAGAATATATCCAGACAATATTAAAACTATAATAAATATAATGGACACTACTGAAGTAATTCATTTTTTGCCTCGGTAATTAGTGTTGTATGTTTTAGTTCACTTACCTGAATCCATTATTGCAGTATTTTATAAACAAATCACTTCTGCCCCCTATATTCAAAATATTAAATCTTCCTGTCTCCTGCCAAACAATTATAACTGGTTGCTCAAAAGGCGCTAATAGGAAACATGTCGAGAATTTATTTTTGGAGTCTAGGAGAGAATTTTTAAAGCAAACCCTTGCAATCTACAACTTCAAGGATTCAAGCTGTGGTATATAGAACTGCCTATATTTAAATTTTAAAATATTAAGACACTGGAGAAAGATGGGAGAACAATGAGGCACTGCATCAGCTATTCATAGGATTTCAAGAATCCTATAATTCGGTTAGGGGGAAGTATTTTACAATATTCTCATAGTTGGCGTACCCATGAAACTACTTAGGCTGAAAAAAATCTGTTTAACTGAAACATGTAACATCTGTATAGGTCAACATTTCATAACTTTCTTATCCAGAATGGTGTAAAAGATGACTTTAACACCACTGCTTTTCTACTTTGCTTGATTTAGAATATGGCATTAGAAAGGTCTAGGAAAACCAGGTGGGACAGAAATTAAATGAAACACATCAGCTGCTGGTCTATGCTGATGTAAATCTATTGGGATATAACACAGTTGCCACAAACAAAAACATCAGAACTCCAGTCTGCATTAGTGAGTAGGTTTGTCTGGAAGTAAACACACAGAAATCTACATGTTGCTGTCTCGTCACCAGAATGCAGGGCAAAATCATGATGTTAAGGCAGGTAATAGATCCTTTGATAATGTGGCACATTTCAAAATATTTGGGAACAGTAAAAAATTCAAAATTTAATTCATGAAGGAATTAAGAGGAGACTGAATCCAGGTAATACTTGCTACCATTCAATTCAGAAACTTTAATCTTCTCATCTGCTGTCTAAAACCGTAAAAATTAGAATAAACAAAACTGTGATTTTGTATGGGTGTGAAACTTTGTCTCTGACATTAAGGGGGGAACACAGACTGAGGGTATTTGAGAACAGGGTGTTGAGGAGAACATTTGGACCGAAGAGAGATGAAGTGACAGGAGGTTGGAGAAAACTACACAAGCTTCATAACTTGTACTCTTCCCCAAGTATAACTAGAATTATCACATCAAGTAGGATGAGATGGCACAGCATGTAGCACGAATGAGGGTGAACAGGACTGCATGTAGGATATTGGTGGAAAAGCTAAAAGAAAGAGACGAATAGGAAGACCAAGCTGTAGGTGAGTGGCTAATATTAAAATGGATCTTAGATAGGATGGGTTGGTATGGACTGGGTTGATCTGGCTCAGAATAAGGTCCAGTAGATGACTCTTGTGAACATGGTAATGAACATTCTGGTTCCATTAAATGCTGTGAAACTTTTCAGTAGCTGCACAACTGGCTGCTTCTCAAGAAGGGCTCAGACCCATGGAGTTAATATATGGAACTGACACAATGATATATAAACAAAATACAATGTTTAACGCTGCCATACAATCATTTCTTTTCAGAATGACGGTTCTCTGAGATACGATGCTTATCTTTTGTGCAGAAGATAGAGACGCTATGTACACACCAAACATTTGTACCTCTGTAATGAACAACGAACGCCACAACACCGATTACTTGCCGCCAAGTTCATTCACAAGTCCAAATTTCAATCTCTTCATAGATGCCAATAAAAGCTTTCAAACATACCCCAAATATTGTATTTCCCAAAGACAATATATATAAAGTGAATTATAAATATAAGATAACCTTATCATAAAATTGTAATGCAAACGCTATCTGCAAGAAAGAGCTTAGAGAGATTAATATTCTATATATATTTGTATTTCCTGTGCTAGTGAATCTGAAATGCAAAGGTTGTCGTCATTGTCGCTCATTTATAATCGGATGGAAGTCATTATAGCTTGAGTGGTAACTACCGCCATCTATGATCTTATTCCGTTACTACACGCACTTCTACAGTACATGCAACCTTATTCTCTGCCGTTGCTCTAGTCCAGTGCCTTCAATATAGACGAAGGAAGAGGATAACCAAGTAATTGGCAAATAAATCAACAGTACATTCATATTAAAATGGAGAGGAAGTAGTGAGAGATGCTATGATTATCATGGGGAGAACCTAGCAGGGGATTTTCAGCTCTGAAGTGTTCTACTAACTCCGCTCGGCCGGGTTATATAACTGGGCTAGTGACAATGTAAAGCGAAGTGGTTATGCAGCAAGCAACAAAGACTGGAGAAGTGTTTGCTAAATTAAGACGTAATCGGCTGTTAACAGAGGGATAGTTACATTGGCAGCACATAGCCCGATGTGGAATTTGTGTGGGAACTCATGCCCTCTAACGAGGACCCCCACAAAAATGTGAATCGAACTTCGAAGTGTGACCTTCATCAAATATATAAATAATATAATTTATACATCACAGAAAACATACTTCATCTCCACTGGAAAAATCTAGCGAGTTAATATTGTGCGGGGAAATAACTGTTATTTATTCTGAGAATAATTTTAAATATATAATATTTAATAATATATAAATATAATTTGTATGCAGAATGCAGTGTTTTAATTTTAAAGCAGACGGTAGGCCTATATAGGCCTCTAGAAATTACTGTGCCCTAAATCAGGGGTTCTCAAACTTTCTGATGCCTTGACACCATGATTAGAATGCTCCTGTCATTAGGACTAACGGGAAAGGAACCCAGTACACGTACCTCCTTTCGTGTCTGTCCACTGCAGCTACGTTTTAGGGAAAACTTATAATAAACTTTGCAGATTCACTTCTTAGCCAAAACTGAGTGGATACAAGTAGATTTAAAAAAATTCTTGAGAATCTGACCACTACATTCCAGCAGTTCGCGACACCCATAGGAGTTGTGACTCACATTTTGATAAATAATGCTTTAAATTGTTAATGACTAGTTTATCTTCATGTGCTTGTGTAAAATTTAATGTAATACAAGGCCTGATTAACCGAGGTACAGCTCCTTCAGGGTCCAGTATTAGCTCCACATCGTTTATAAGAAGTCACATGCCTGTATTTCATCTGTTAGCACAATTGCCAATCTCTTTATAACCCATTCATATTCAAATACCCTGACAGCCTCTGCATATAATGAGAAATAGAAGAGGATCTCTAAACTACGTGCCCTAGGTGCACACTATTTTCATACGGCATTCTCGAACGTAGTTCAAAGATTCTGTTTGACAACGCCAAAATTTGTACAGAAGAAGTAATGTTAAGTTAACTAGTAAAGAAAGGTAAAACTATCCTTGTAACAGGCCGTGGAGGCCCATAGGGTTATGAGGCGTCGAGGCTCCCACACTTCTGGACAATTGACTCGCAGATGGCGGTGAGGTTGTCAGCCTTACACACCGGGCGACCACTATTTACCTACCAGGAAGATTAATTGTATTCATTTCTGTCAGAGGCTGAGTCAACCTCAAAGCCGTAGCGCTGCTGGAAGATTAGGTTAATTGAGAAATCCAACGACCTCATCGGGAATTGAAGACCTTCCGGTTTGTAGCATAGTGCCTCTTCTACTTACGCTGCTGTGTACCCTAAGTTAACTGGTGCAATATAAAAAAAAATATATTTCAGTGTCCTCCATATTGTTATTCCCAATATGAGATAAACCTGTTGCGTTTTATTTTATGACTCGTAAGGCTGTACAGTTTACAGTGAACTATTTTCGTTCAAGGCTGGTACCAGTGTAGACCCACAAAGAGGGTTGCATGTAAGGATTTTGTAGAAAAAAGCTGAAGGAAAGATACCGCCAGGAAGACATATACGTAGATGGAAGGATAATATTTAAATGGATCTTAGACAAATAGGTTAGAAGTTATGGACTGGCTTCAGGACAGAATTAATGGCGACATCTTGTGAACACGGCATTGAACATTCGGGTTGCATAAAATGCTGGACATTTCTTGAGTGGCTAAGCAACTGTCGGCTTTTGAAGAAGTATGTTACTCCATGGAGTAACCCCACTGGTAAGTTCTTCGTTCCACTCGCTGGATATATCGATTTAAGGGGAAGTGTCATTGCGATCTTCAGTGGAGATCTATGATGAAGATACATAAATATTGTGGCATGTACAGCTATTGCTAAGCAACGACCGCGATATAAGCAACTATATAACAGCCATTGCTAAGTAACGGCTCGGCAAACAAACATTTCCAGGGCGAGAGAACACAGCAACAATGGAAGAGACTTTTCTGCGCGTTCCGTACCGAGATATTATAACCAGAAAGACTTGACGACTGACCGTAGATCGTAACATGACTTTGAGTTTGACTTTGACTTGAGTTTTAGTCAGTTAGAGGACTGCCGGTTGTCAGTCGTTGTGAGCTGTTGCTGGTAGAAGCTGGTAGCTGAGACCGTGAATAGTTCGGGAACCCGAAGGAAAAGGAACTTCCAACATTGGAAGCCGCCACTATGCAACGGCAGTGAAGACGTGACTGTGGACACTAATGTCCGTGTTAGTGTACTGGAAAATGTAGTCACGCCCTGTATCAGAGCGTGCAATAAATCGAGTCATGAATACCCCACTATAGTCACACTATCACGTGACAAAGTGACTCAATAAGTGAAACTGTCAAGGGGAAATCACAAAACTAAAGTCTGTTATCGTTCTTAATCCTACATAGCAAAGGCTCTTAGCCATTTCCTCTTGAAATAACCACTGAAACTAAACGATCTCAACATGCCTGTACAAAACAGTTAAGTAAAGAAGAAGTAAAGGAACTTTAAGCAGGATAATAGCTGACCAACTCCACTGAATTGATAGTAAATTATCTTTGTCTAAAAATCTGTGTAGTATGTTGTGGAAGAAATAGGTTATGGTCAAAAAGGCCATGGAATAATCACACGATCCTTGAAGTCAAAGGATACACTAATTCTGCAACAATATTAATGTGAATCGTACTAATATAAGTTACATATTTTCAACATTATCACCCTGAAGAATTCCTTGGCTCAATATTTAATGTCTCCAGAAGACCTGTCGCTCCTACTTGCAGCAGATAACCATAGAATGAAGAAAATTACGCCATGAAGTGCTTTATAAATCGTGTTGCTTTTTTAATTATGTAGGATTTGAAAATCTCACAGCGGTGCTTATGAAGGCTTCTATCTTATGAGATACAACGCCTTGGTAACTCACCAAATTACTTCGATCCTGAAGATGAAGCCAGTATTTACTCCGGAATGTCGATAAAACTGCCGGCTTCCACACGATGTAACAACCCCAAAACAGAATTATTAAAAATTATCCGTTTTATTTAAAGTAGGAATCGAGCAACAAAAATTGGCCTGGTTAGGCATAAAGTATGAACCAATCCAAACAGAAAGAGTAAGTATCCAAAGTTAGGTTTATCAAGCTTGCTAGAGCCACTGGGTTAGTGACTGAGGCTAGCTCTTTCTAAGGGACCCAACAGAATAGGTGTTTCCTTCACCTGAGGACGGAAACAGATCCAGTTTCCGAAACGTCGTGTTTTTCTTAGTTATCTTAAAACCAAGCGGCCTCCGTAGTCTAGAGGTAACGTTCCCACCTCATGACTCGTGGTACGCGGGTTCAAACCCGGCGGAGGTCGTGGAATTTTTAAGGGCGGAAAAATTCAGGGAACAAGTCCTCCGGGAGGGACTTTAAGCCGTGGGTCCCGTGTCGTAGCTTTACGGCACGTAAAAGAACCTCATATCTCCAAAGGAGGTCACTGAGCTAATTCAAGGACATTTCCCGCCCAACAGTAGTCTCCAACGCTTCTGATAGATGGGGGAAGCATTATAGATACCGCCAAGTCAGTAGAGGCCGAACTCGCTGGCTCGGTCGGGACTGAT